TTAAAACAATAAATATTTATTATCTCACAGTTTCTGTGGGTCGGGGGTCTGGGACTGTCTTAGCTGGGTGGTTCTGGCTCAGGGTCCCTCATGAGACTGGAGCCAAGATGTCAGCCAGGCTGCAGTCATCTGAAGACCTGATGTAGTAAGTTTTGAAATTAGGATGTGTAAGTCCTCCAACTTTGTTCTTCCTTTTCCAAATTGTTTTGCTCTTCTGGGTCCCTTGCACTTCCGTGTGAATTTTAGGATCAGACTGTCAATGTCTACAAGAGAGCTCGGTGGGATTTGGATAGGCGCTGAGTCTGTAGAACAATCTGGGGAAGACTGCCATTTAACAAACACTAAGTCTTCCCATCCATGAACACGGATGTCTTCTCATTTGCTTAGGACTCCTTTGAATTGCTTTCAAGGATTTTACAGTTTTTACTGTACAAATCTCACACTACTTCTGTTGATTTTATCCCTAAACATTTTGTTCTTTTTGATGAAATTATAAATGGTTTTCTTAATTTCATTTCCAGATTGTTTGTTGCTAGTGTACAGAAACGCAACTGACTTTTGTGTGCTGATCTTCTGTCCTGCAATCTTGCTGAGCTTATTTATTAGCTCTAGCAGTCTCTTTGTGCAACGTGTTTTGCGATCTGGTCTCAGACGCCACATAGCATCACTTCTGCCATGTTCTACTCATTAGAAATGAATCCAGCCCACACTCAAGGAGATAGGATTTAGGCCTCTCCTCTGAAAGGTAGAGTGTTAACACATTGATAAAAACAAGACAACAGGCCCAAAATGGAGTCATTTATGCTAAGCCCCTGTCACTCGACCGAGATAGTTTCCGGTCACTCAGAAATGGAATCTTAGTCAATTAGGAATCGCCTGATCAACATGAGTTAGGTAATCTGCCTGGTGGACCCCTGCCATCCCCTAAAGGAAAGGAATCGTGCAATAACCAATCTGCTTTTTGCCCAGTACAATTTCCTTGTTCCTGTTCTCTTCTGCCTATAACTTTTTCATTTTGTACAGCTCCTCAGAGCTTCTTTCTATCTGTTAGGTTGGATGCTGCCCAATTCATGAATTATTGAATAGAGCCAATCAGATCTCTAAAATTTACTCAGTTGACTTTTATTTTTTAACCTCATACAACCAGTACAATTATTTTTTAAAAATTATTCAGAAATGAAGTGTCACTGGTTTCCTCCAAATACGTATCTCCTGGATAGAACTTGTAGGGGAGGAAGACATTTCCTCTTCCCCAACGGGGGTTCGTCTCGCCGGAGAACGAATTAAATTCACATGAGACAGAATAGCAAGAGAAAATTAAACAAAGCTTTATGAGGAACCATGGCCCGGGGCCTTTCTTCCCGAAGGAATAAAGGGCACCGAAGAAGTGGGGTGCGCATAGTGGTTATATACCCCCAAACAGGGTGTTTCACATGTGATTGAAATGTCCCTCCCACAATAGTCACAAGATTGCCCTGTCAGCACAGCACTTGATGGACACAGCAGGTAGCGGTCTGCTGTCTCAGAGGGCGTAGCAGGAGGCAAGCCTATTGTCTGGAGCTGGGCGGTCACAGGTGAGCGCAGCAATCAGTTCCTAGCCTAAGGAAAGATGCTTAATCCTTAAGAAATGCCAAAGTTGGGAGGGGGAGGGAAGTCAGTGACAGGAGGCTACCAGACTAGCACAATAAAATGCAGATTTTAAGTCCTTGCCTTTGGTATTGATTAAGAGTTTTTAGAGAGAAGGTCATCTCCTTTCTTATTCCTGGTACAGAGAGGGAGGCACCTTTTACAGGTAGAGATTTACCTTACAAATGTAAAAGCATCTTAACAAAGGGCAAGTTCCATTCCTCAGAGCCTTCTTCCCTGTCCCAGTTTATCAAAAGCAATCAGCCTCAAATAATCCTGATGCCAAAGAGACATATCTTGGGGTGGCCAATTCCAGGTCTCCACAAACTCTTACCCCAGGAGAGTAGATGGTAAATTGTCTCTAACCATTAGTTTATTACATAAAATGTTCACCTGACATTTCTCTTTTGCATTCATTTTCTTCTTGCAGCCTTTTAAAGATAATATTAGCCTTTCATTCTATATGGATTGCTACTCAAACTTTGTGTGTGTATGTGTGTGGCTTTTTTGACCTTTGTCCTCCTGTTTCCTCTGCCCTTTTGCCACTGAAAATAAAATATAATTCCCCTTTTTAACATGACAACGCTTTTCAGCACTCAAGTGAGAAAGTCTTGTGTGGTTTAAATACAGCTCTTTTCTGTTAGTCATAGTAAAACCAGGGAAAGAAGGATGAAGCTGGGGCAAGAGGTAAAATATTCAAGTGATGAGGAAAAAAATAGGCACAGGGGCAGGGTGGGAAGGGAAGAAGAGGGAGGGAAAGGAGGAAATGGAAGAAAGCGAGGGAAAATACAAATAACAGAGAACACTGGGAAAGAAGAGAGGTTGAGAGAGAATCCTCCAAAAGCTAATTTGACACAGAAACTTCAGCAAGTCTAACTAATCCTGCCCCTATAGTGGTCAACCCTTTTATTGTGTTAATTTACAATTTAGGCTGCCATTAGTGCTTAACTACTTTGACATTGCTGGAATATTGCTTCATGAAGTGTTCTACCACAAGGGGACAAGTGTTCTACAAGCTAGGTGGCCATGCTTTTGTGAATTTCATGTGGAGCTTTCCACGTTCAGGAGTGTCCACAAACGTAATCTGAAGATGGACGCGGGATTGAGGTCCCAAAGCAGGCTGTGGTGAAATTTCCATTGACTCAGACTCCCTTCTGAAGATTTTAATCTCGGCCAAACCTCTTGTTCTGCTCTAGTGGAGGCTCTCTGCCAACCCAATTACGTAGCATTCACTACATCATTTTGGAATGGAGAAGGATTTCCCGTGTTATCTAATCCGACCTCTTCTTGGCTTCACCACTTTCTGGCGTGGGTGAATTAACCATCTTGTGTCTCAGTTTCCTCAACTGTAAAACAAGGTCAGACTATCACCTACTTCAAATAGGGTATTGTGAAAATTATGTAAGTCAGTATTGATGAGGATTTTTAGGCTGCTTAATTTTAAAACGGTTTATGATGAGGATTTCAGGCTGGTTACTTTTAAAACTACAGATGAGAAGCAGGCTCTGAGGACTGGAATTTTGCTTGCTCTTTTGAGAGACATTTGCATTTGTGAAGGAAGGGGGGGATGAGCTTGTAGGGACCTGAAATTGGCCACCCCAAGGGATGACTCTTTGGCATCGGGATTGTTTTGGGCTGACTGCTTTTGATAAACTGGGACAGGGAAGGAGGCTCTGGGGAATGGAACTTGCCCTTGTTGGGACACATTTACATTTGCAAGGTAAATCTCTATCTGTAAAGGTGCCTCCCTCTCTGTACCAGGAAGAAGAAGAGAGATGACCTTGTCCCTAGAAACTCTTAATGGGAAAGGCAAGAACTTAAGTTGGTTGCTGTCTGGCAAGCTCATGTAACTGATTTAGGGTGGTGGCTTCTGACCTTTACTTAATCCGATTTGATTCTTGTCTAAAAGTCATAGGATCACCCAACGACCTGACCCCACCTGCACTGATACCATTTTAACATTTTTTTCAGGTTCTTTCCTTTGTCTTCGTAAAGAGATGACTCACATACCTATGCCTTAAATTTAGCCCTAACCCTCAACTCGGGGCAGCAGCAGGAGCTGTGACTGCCCGTGGGTCCTGTCCCCATGCCAGCGGGGGCAGCAGCAGCGGCAGCAGAAGCTCTGACTGCCCATGGGTCCTGTCCCCATGCTACACTATTCTCTAAATAAAAGAGCACTACTGCCAGATCTTAAGAGTCTAAGAAATCTTTCTTTCGACTCCTCGGCTCACTGACCCTGCATCAAGTATGACATATACAAATGTAAAGCCCTTGGAACCATGCATATAGTGCTTAAAAAAATGTGAGCTATTATAACAGAATTGACTTAGTTAAACCTGTTATTGCAAGTATCAACTGTTCCTCGATGCCAGCAGATCTCAAAGTGTGGTGTGGGGACCAATGGCGGGTGGGGAAGGGGGTTATTCTGAGAGACCCTTTTCAAGGATCCGTGAAGTCAAAACTGTTTTCTTAATAATATTAAGAAGTTATTTGCCCTTTTCATTCTCATTCTCTCAATAAGATGCAGTGTTTTCCAGATTCGTGAAAAGTGATAACGTTTACAGAAGCAGCCAGAGAATCCAGTTGTCTTCCTTATTAAGCCAGATAACGTAACGTAATGACACAGTGTATTAGTTATTTTAAATGAATATTTTAAAACTTTAATTTCTAATACAATAAATGTTGATATAACCTACAGAAACAAAAGCTTTTTGTGGTTCTCAATAATTTCTAAGAGCGTAAAGCGATCCTGCGAACAAAAAGTTTGAGAACCAATGCTCTGATGCAACTCGTGATTGCACAAACTTGGATGCCTTGTGATCACCACAACTTCAACCTCTCCAGCCTCTATGCCTTTTTCTTGTGGTTTCCGGTCTGGACTGAACCTCTGCCATTTCTGCCTGCAAAGTCCTAGCCCTCCTTCAAGAGCATCTTGCTCTCCTTGATGCTGGTCCAGATTTTGCGCCCTCCTCAGTACCCTCTTTCCGGGCTGGGCCCTCCGGGGAAGGTCCGGGCCTCTCTCGGACACTTGCCCTTCCCAGCCTTGGGTATCATTCTGAGTTGACTGAGACTCTCTAGCGGGTCGGGTCTGGGTTTCTCCAGACCTGGCACTCCTCCGGGCACCAGCCCCGCCCAGCCACCACATTCACCAAGAGGCGCCACACGGGCTCAACCAGGCCGGAGAGTCACCGGGAGGAGCAACAGAGACCCGGAGAGACCAGCAGCCGGGATCGCGCAGGGAGGCAGAGATAAAACCGCCCAGTACCCGCCCACCACGGTCCTGGAAGCGCCCCGCCGCGTGAGGGGCGGAGCCACGCGTCCACAGGGGGCGTGGCCTCCAGTGCGCGCGGGAAAGGGGCCGGAGCCGCCTGCGCGCGCACAGTCGGCGGCCGCGCGCAGCACGCTCGGGGCCGGATGGCGGCGGCGGCGGCTGGAAGCGGGACGCCCCGGGAGGAGGAGGGGCCCGGTGGGGAGGCAGTGGCCCCTCCGCCCCAAGCCCCGACGGGTGCGCCCGGGGCTCGTCTCTCGAGGCTGCCTCTGGCGCGAGTGAAGGCCTTGGTGAAGGCGGACCCCGACGTGACGCTCGCGGGACAGGAAGCCATCTTCATTCTGGCACGAGCTGCGGTGCGGCGGGAACTAGAGGGACACAAGGCGGGCCGGGGAGCGTGGCGAGGGGCGGGGCCTCGGGGACTTCCGGGGGTGGAGCTTAGCGGCGCCTTGGGCTGGATTTGGGGAGTGTGGGATGTACTGGGGACAGGGAGGTGGGAGAGGTGCTGGGGCCCGATTGTGAGCTGTGAGTGTAGGAAGGGAAGACGGAAGAAGGGTCACGTAGGGTGGTTGTATTGGTTTGTTAACACACCTGCCTCTTCACGAGGGCCTGGACGACGACTTTAATTTGCATCTCCAGTGTCTAACACAGAATTTGTAGGAGTCTCAAGTGAATGAGTGGGATGAATTTACAAGGAAGGGAGGAGGGACGTGTCTGGGCTACTGCGAGAGTGGGAAGGGGAATAGACCATCATGAAGTCCAGGACAACCTTCAGCTGCCCTGAGACCCTCCCCATGCATCTGAGCCCCCTTTCGTCCCTCTCCCCTGACTCAAACAGGAGCACTCACAAGACTTGTGCTAGAACCAGTTGGTACAATTCTCTTTGTTTGCTTCACAGGAACTGTTTGTGGAGACCATTGCAAAAGATGCCTACTGCTGTGCCCAACAAGGGAAGAGGAAAACCCTGCAGAGGAGAGATTTGGGTAGAGTGTCACTGTGGTATCCTGGATCTGGGGGCGGACAAGCGAGGGCTGGGCAAGGTTTTCCCTTTCACTGGTTGAGAAGGCATCACTGTAAGAAGAGAGGTGCCACAGGGTCTCTATCGGTGTTTTGTTGGACTGCCACATTGACAGAAAGCCCTTACCTTTAGGATTTCTCTACTTTGAGTGGCTGGAGAGGTGCCATAGCAGAGAGTGAAAGGAGTCTAGGTGTTGCCAGAGCTAACTAGACCCCTTTATACCTTCTGCCGTGTTGTACCAGGCTTGACATTTCTTTTCCCCCTGGAACGTGAGGGTTTGGTTTCTGACTCTTCTTTCTAGTTGGTGACCTTCACACATGTGTAAGCTTTCATATACTGTCATCTTACTTTCCTGGCTCTATTGCCAAACTCTTCTCTGATGACTTTCAGAGCAAAGAGGTTCCCCCCACTGAACAGTATTTACCCAGGTATTTCTTACTCCTGTAGAGAGACAGATGATCGGTAAGATTTGGTGGTGGAGTATAGGAATGGATCTCAAGACAGCGAGGAACACATTTTATAAATGCCCACATTTTCATAAAACCTCATGCCCTTCAGTGCGTGGGTTGTGCTTTTTTGGGGGGGCTGATGTCCAAATGATCTGAGTTGGTCAGGTGTCCCTTTACCTTGTGTTTCAGATAATGCAATAGAAGCTGTGGATGAATTTGCTTTTCTGGAAGGTGAGTTCTTTATCAATGGGTGGTCATTTCCGTTTGGCCTTCCATGCTAATGATCTAAGTTCACAACCTTGTAAAACTGATGCCGGGTTCTTCCTTGTTTGTGTAGGGATAATTCTTTCTCCCTACTTCCTGTTAAGATAGGAAAAACTGACTTGCTAAATCTGGTGAGATTTAGCAATTTTAATTCTATTCCCTTGGGTAATTAAAACTTTTTCCTGAATGTTGCTAACCGTAAAAAATGGAAGGGAGTATAAAGACCCCAGTGGAGTTAGGTGGACTCAGAAGTTTGCTTCTTGCTTTGATCTCCATCTCTAGATATAAATCTTCCTCCTCATCATAATGCTAGAGTTCAGAAACAGTTGCCAACATTTAAAGGGTTACTTGTTCCTTCTCTTCAACGATCTGTGTAAAGCGATGATTTTGCTGCAGGGAGAGTCTGTCCTGTATCTGTTCTTAGGAATTTCGGATTAACTCATGTGCTAACTAAATCTTGTCATTGAAATAGAAAATATTTGAAATGCCTCATTTTATCTACCTTCTCTTAGAGCTGTTTCTCCTACTTAATTCCTAAATCTGATCAGCTTGCTCTTCTCTACACATATTCTGATTGGATAGTTGTGTGAAAGCCCTGCGCCTAGAGTTCATTCTCCTCTTTACCATACCAGAGTGTTCTCATCACCTCCTTCAGGCCTCATTACCTATTTTTACTCCTTTGTTCTGCATCTGTACATCAACCTAGGCCTCTGGCCCTTTCGATATATTCTTTTAAATGTCTTTTAAGATATATTCCCATGGCCAGCTTCAAACCTAGATTATTGAGTATTCTCTTAATTTGTAGATCTTTCTTAAGCCTTTTTTTCTGTGTACTCATTTTTCTTAAAAATAACTTGTTAGCTGCCTACCTAAGGCAGGCAACTTCTTGTGAGTGAGTTCCTGTCAGTTCCCCAATCAAAAATGTTTAGAGTCTACCTTACATGTTCATTTTTAGTTACCAGCTTTTCAAAGAGGTGAGTGATATGATCAAGTTTGTATTTTAAAGACATAACACTACTGACCTGTGGGTACTAAACTGGAGGGCGCTGGGAACAGAAGTGGAGAGATCTTACGCAGTTTCCTTCTCTAGCCTCCACCGTGCCATAGAGCTTAGCTTGGAATTTGGTGGGGAAAATTGGCCGTGTGCTGACATCTGTTGCCAGTCTTCCTTTTCTTTTTTTTTTCCCCCTCCCGAAGCCCCAGTACATAGTTGTATATCCTAGTTGTAGGTCCTTCTAGTTCTTCTGTGTGGGACACCACCTCAGCATGGCTCCATGAGGGGTGTGTAGGTCCGCGCCCAGGATCTAAACTGGCAAACCCCAGGCCGCTGAAGCGGAGTGTGCAAACTTAACCACTGCACCACCGGGCCAGCCCCAGCTTGGATTTTTAATAAATGGCCCATTTCTTGAGTGGTAGATGTGTTCATTTTCATCTTCTGATCCAATAAGCTCAGTAATTGAAGCCGTCTGCTCTACCGCACATTAGTAGATCTGAATTTTGGCCATTTTAGACCCTGTAGGTTCAGTCAGTATATATTATTTTGTACCTGGTAAAATAAATGTTTTATATCCTTACCTGTGTATGTTCTAAGTAGAAAATTATTCTTTTTTTTCTTTTTTAATCAAGGCAGTATATATTCATGCTTAAAAATCAAATAGTTACCTAATGGCTTACAGTGAAGTGTAACTGCTGCCTCTCACCCTTTTGTTTCCCTTTTAGCTTTTCAGGCGCTTACTTATATTTCTAAATGACATGCTTGTCTTTGACTTATCAACCGTAGATGTTATCTGTTGACTCCCTGCTATGATAAGTGAAGATTTGGCTAACCTGTACTACCCCACAAATCCCTTCTCTCCTGTCTGATTTTTGGTGGTTATATCATCATTTTTAGTTCCTTTGTTACCTTTTCAGTTTATATAACATATAGAATATCTATTTTTTTTGTTTTCTCGCCACTTTGTGATGCATGACTGTTGGTGCACCTATCCCTTCCTTTCCCATGTTGAGCCCACTTCCAGCTCTCACTTTGTGTCATCTGTACTTGTACTTTGCCATTGTCAAGGCTGATAACATATCTTCTCATCGTAGTTAAGTCTTCCCTGCTTTAGCTGTAGGTTGGGTGTGGAACTTGAAAAACAGTACTGTGAACAGTCTTTCTCTACCCTCTCTGTCCTTTAATCCCATGCAGGGCCCCTCCCTGCCGGCAACTCTTATTAGTCTGTTGTGTACTCTTCTGGATATTTTATGCAAATGTGTGTCTATTTGTATTCTTTTTTAAGCCTTCCCATATGAAATGTAACACAAAGAACAAGTGTAAAGTCAGTAAATAATCAGATGAACACCATTGTAACCATCAACTAGGCCAAGAGATAGGATACTGTCAGCCCAGAAGCCCCGTATGTATTCCTTCATCATATGTCTCTCCACCCCCTTTCCTGACAACTGTATCCTGACGTTTTGGTAGTTACTTCCTTGACTTTTCTTTATAGTTTTACCACATAAGCATGCATCCCTAAATACTAGGATTTAGTCAAATTGCAATGCTGCGTCATTGTTCATAAGAGAGATTGGCATTTGTTTTTCATATTGAATGTGAGCCTCATACAATTTTTTGGGGAGTGTACCCTTTTTATCTGTTCTCTGGAAAACTTTGTGAGATAGGAATTATTTCTTTGAATGTTTGCTGAAATTCATCAGTGAGGCCATCTGGGCCTGGAATTGTCTTTGTGGGAATATTTTTGATTATTGATTCAGTTTTTTGAATGTTTTTAGGACCATTCTGGTTTAATTTTCTTGAGACAGTTTCCACTCCCCAAAGAGTTATAGTTTTTGTAAGAATTTATACATTTTATCTAAATTTGTTGACATCAAGTTTTTCACGGTATTCTGTTATCTTTGTAATGTGTATATTTGTTGATGTCCTCTTTTTATTCTTGGTGTTATGAGAGCCTTTTCTCTTTTTCCTTGATCACTTTCTCTAGAGGTTTGTCAGTTTTATTAGTTTTTTCAAAGAACGAACCTTTGGTTTTGTTGATTCTTTCTATTATGTATTTTTCCACATTTCATTAGTTTCTGCCCTTTATTATTTCTTCATTTTAAATTTTTTTGCATTTAATTTTCTGCTCTTTTCTAACTTCCTGAGATGGATCTTTTGTTCATTAATTTTTAGCTTTTTTCTCTGCTATATGCATTTAAGTTATAAATTTCCCCCTGGATACTGCTGTAGCTGTATCGTGCAAGTTTTAATAGGTAGTATTTTCGTTGTCATTTGATTTGAAATATTTTTAAGTGCTTTTTTTTTCTTTTTGTGAGGAAGATTGGCCCTGAGCTAACATCTGTTGCCGATCTTCTTCTTTTTGCTTGAGGAAGATTGTTGCTGAGCTCACATCTGTGCCAGTCTTCCTCTATTTTGTGTGGGACGCTGCCACAGCATGGCCTGATGAGCGGTGCTAGGTCCACTAGGTACATATGGGTTTAAATCTACCATCTTATTTTGTGCTTTCTATTTGTCTTGCCTGTTTTATTTTTTTCTTCCCATTTTTTGCCCTTTTTTTGAGTATAATTTATTATTCTATTTTTTCCTGTATCAGTTTGGAAGTTATACACTCTGTTCTTTTAGTTGTTACTCTACCAGTTACTACATGCGTCCTTAATTTATCAGAGCCTAATGTTAGTACCTTCCCTCTCATCCTCAGCAAGGTGGAATCTTAGCATCCAGTAACTCTCAGTCCCTTGTCCCCACTCATGCTGTTCTTGTCAAGTGTTTTTGTTTTGTTTTAGACAATCCACATAAGGCATTATTATTGCTATATTATACAGGCAATGATATATGAATTTATCCATATATTTATGTTGTCTTTGCTTTTTTCTTTTTATATTTCTTCTCCTCCAGTTGTGATTATTTTCTTTTAAATCTTTTAGAACTTCCTTTAGTATGGGTTTGCTGGTAGCTGACTCTCTGCTTTTTTATTTTTTGGTATGAAAAAGCCTTTATTTTACTTTCATTGTTGAAGGCTATTTTGCTGAATATAGGGATCCAGGTGGGAAATTATTTCTTTTAGTACGTTGAAGCTATCATGGTACTGTTTTTTGGCTTTCATTGTTTATGTTGAGAAATCATTTAGTCTGTTAATCTTTTGAAGCTAATTTGTCCCTTTTTCTTCTGTCTGCTTTTAAGTTCTTCTCTTTGATTTTTCTGTAGTTTCACTCTCATGTATCTAGGTATAGATTTCGCTTTTTGTAGTCAGTTTAGGCTTCTTAAATCTATGGATAGATTTCTTTCAGCTGTCCTGGAGAAGTCCCAGCCAGTATCTTTTCAGATATTGGCTCTGTTTTGTTCTTTCTCCTTTCTCTCTGGGATTCCTGTTAAACATATGTTAAAACTCAACTATAATTTTGCCTCTTCATGATGCATTGTGTGTAATTTTACTCACATTCCGGTTTATTAATTCTCTCTTCAGTGGTCTTGTCTCATTTAAACTTTTCTATTGATTTCTTAGTTTTTGTTTTTGTGTTTTAAGTTCTGCAAATTCCATTTAGTTATTTTCAAATCTCTTTTGTCACTTTTTATTGTATGTACTTGTTGCAAATGTTTTGACGCTCATCTTTTATTTCTTTAAACATAGGAAGTACAGTTGTTTAAAGGTCTGTGTCCAATCTAATGTCCAAAGCCTTTTGAGGCTGGTTTATTTTCTTTTATTTTTCTGTCTATTTCTGTTAGAACTGTCTCACAGTCTTTCCCCTATATGCCTAGTTATTTTGGCATATTGGTCATTGTACTTGAGAAGATTATTTGTTGGATAATTTGAGGCTTGTGTGATGAAACCTTTCTCCAAAGAAGAGTTTCCTGTGCTTCTGCAAGGCACCTGGGGGTGTGTCGGTCGGTGCGGGGCCTCCTTTCCAAATCCAAGACTGGGGGATTCCTTCATCACCATGATGCGAACCCTGATTGCAGGCTGGTGAGGGGGCTGACTTTATTTTAGTCCAGCCTTACTGTGAGGGTGTAGCCTTTTGGGACTCCAGCCTTAAAAAAGGGAGTGGTTATCAGACCTTCCCACTTGAGCAGCCTCCCAGATTTGACTCTTGATTTGCTCAACCCACCCCGCAGAAATCACAGCACAGTTTCTCACCTCTGTCTTTCGGTTTGGCAAATGCCCTCAGGGCAAAAGCAGTTTTGGAAGCTGGGTTTTCTTTGTGTTCTTTCCTTCTCTAGATTTTGGATTTGCCTGCTCTTGATGCCTTTTCAATATCTGAAGGATTTTCTTTTTAAAAATATTTTACTCAGCTTGATCAGTTGCTCTCGGCAGAATGTTGCCATTATCAAAAGCAGAGGCTGTTTTTTTTTTTTTTTTAAATTAGAGATATTTTTGCTTTGTTTTCTTATGTGTTCTTTTCCATGAATTATCTGTTTTATTCTAGGTCGTCATCTTTTTCTTATTTTTTTTTTAAATAAATCTTAGTCTTTCATCATGTAGGCTTTCTTCAAATGCCTGGTAATTTTCATTCCATTTAAGAATGAGAGAATCAGAAGCCTGTTTGGAAGCTGTGTACGTGTGTGGATGGGAGGGTGGTTTTTGCCTGACAGTTTTACTTCAGGATGGGCAGGAGTGGGGCCAGGTGTTACTCGGTGGGCCTCCAAAGGCCAGAGTGCAGAAAGCGTTACTGTGGCGAGCTGGCATTTTCAGAAGCTGCTCTAGTTCTCCAGGTAATACATTTAGTTCTTTAGAAGAGAACCCTCTGATTTTGTTTTCAACTTAGGTTTAAATGCTTCTTTTCTGGTAGTGCTGCCTTCGGGGAGGGTTGTGGGGGGATGGGGTCAGCCATTTCTCATACAGACCCTGGGGGCATTAACCTATCGTAGCCTTGCGTCTGTCTCATTCCTGTGTCTGAGTCTGGAGCCTCCCGTGAGTCTCCCGGCACGCGGGCTCCACCTCTGCTGCAGCTCTTCTGTGTTCATTCTAGGCACATTTTCCCCTGCTCTGTTTTCAAACATCCATCAGTCACATTTCTATTATTCAGCTTTTTATTGAAATCTCTTGACTGCTGATGGGCCTCCATTCTTTGTTGTAGATTTATACCTTTCTTAAACCTTTTTTCGTTTTGAATGGAATCTTGGATGGAAGGGAATACAAACTTGTGGGCTCAGTCTCCCATCTTGAAATGGAACTTTCTCGAAAGATTATAAGCCCTTTGCTTAGAGAACTTACCTCATTTATTTAGTATCACTCACCCCTTTTATGGTCTCCACAAATGCTCATTAACCAACGCAACAACTTCTCAGCCCTTTTCCCACCTCTAATTCTAACTGTCCAAACAGTGTGCTTAATTCCCAGCTGCCCACCCTCTGTGATGCTGTGTTTTTCCCCGAGGATCTTTTGAATTGATATTCTTCAAAACGAGTATTTTGGTCTTAGATAACTACTGGTCCCAAAGCAGCTTCCATTTTAACTTGGCCCGGCTTGTTATGCTCCTCCAGCTCTGGAGGCACCATGCTTTACTCATTGCTCTTTGTGTTTTTAGGTACTTTGGATTGATTGCTGAGCTGGGCAGTTTTGTGAGCCCTCCCCTGCGTCCTTCAGCTAGCCCCTCTGCAGGCCTCAGCTTTGAAGAAGAGTCTTTGGAGTGTTGCACTGCCACACTTTCTGTTCTACCTTCTCCTAAGGTGGGACAAGCAGAGGGCTCACATGTTAGCTTTTCTCTGCAAGGTCTTTCACTACTTGTGTCTTCCATTGCCGGCCTGGATCCAGCTGCTGCTGCTTGGGGCAGAGATAAAGAAAATGATTTGTGCAGGTTGCTTAATGAATGATAAGGACCAGAATAAAGGTCTGTGATCAACTTCAGCTTAGTGCGTTGTATAATCTTGACTTTGTTCTTGACTGGAGAGCACACATGCCCAATCACAGACCTTTCTGATCTTCCCTGCCAGACATTGGGAACCTCAGTCTCTCATTTATTTGTTCATTTTTTCCCCAACATGCCACCAGAATGTGGTTCCAGAATTTATAGGATGCCATTTAGGGTCTTTGGAAGTTCAAATAAATGTGATCCTAGATTTAAAACCAATCAAATTTTTAACGGCTTTATTGAGATATAATTCACATAGTGTACTATTTACTCATCTAAAGTATATGTTTCAATAGTTTTTAGTATATTCATAGATATGTTCAATTATCACCACAGTCAATTTTAGAACATTATTAACAGAATCTTATGTGGTATTTTGTGTCTGGCTTCTTTCGCTTAGATAGTTTTCAGCGTTTATCTTTGTTATAACATGTATCAGTACCCATTCCTTTATTTTTATTTTTAAAATTGTGGCAAAATATATATCACATAAAATTTACCATTTTTGAATGTACGGTTCTGTGGCATTAAATACATTCACTTTGTTGTGCAGCATCAGCATCATCCATCTCCAGAACGTTTTTCATCTTCCCAAACTGAAACCGTACCCATTAAACAAGAACTCCCCGTTCTCCCCTCCCCCAGGTCTACCTAAATTTTGGTTTTTGAGGGAAGGCGCGGGTCACATAGCGGGAAAGAGGCAGTGTACTTAGAAAGCAGTGGTCACGGAGAGCAGCAGGAAGCCACAGACAGTGGGTCTGAAGTGTTTTTGGATCATGGATTGAAGATAGAAGGTCTACAGATATCCGTAGAAAGATGTATAGATGCTCAGTCCTGTAATGTTTTATAAATAAATTTTCTTTTAGAATAATGCTGATTTGCAGAAAAGTTACAAAGATAGTACAGAGTTCTTGTATACCCGTCACCTAGTTCCCCCATTGTTAACATCTTACATTTGCCAGGTACATTTGTGAAAACTAAGAAACTGACGTTTATACGTTGCTGTTAACTAAACTCCAGACGTTATTTGGATTTCTCCAGTTTTCCCATTAATACCCTTTTTCTGTTCTAAGATCCAATCTAGGATACTATGTTGCATTTACTTTTGATGTCTCCCCAATCTCCTCTGGTCTGTGACAGTTTCTCAGTCTTTCCACATTTTTCATGACCTTGACAGCCTTCAGTAGCACGGGGGAGGTATCCTATAGAATGTCCCCAACATGGGTTTGTCTGTTTTTCTCATGATTAGTTGGTCTCATAACTTTGCTTATAATTTCAGGGATTACACAGACCCTCGAGGTCCTTTCAGGGGCCTCCTCTTATTATTGCAAATGGGAATTTAAAAGTGCATGCTGGCCTTTTTCCAAGATAAACTCAAATTAGAGGTTGCAGCCCATTAGTGGGACATGGAATCAATGTAGTATGTTGCCACTGGCATTTTTAAGTAATCTATTGAAAGCAGGAGAGTGTTGCACTGAGTAAAGGGTAAGTATTAATTTTTCTTTCATTTATATGTGTGTATACTAGGTCATTGTGTAAAATCTATGTGGTGGGCAGAATTTTGGCCCCCATGACTTTTGCCCCTTTGCCTGTGAATATGTTATGTTACGTGGCAAAAGGGGTATTGCAGATGTAATTAAGGTTACTAACCAGTTGATTTTAAAATAGATTATCTTGGATTATCTGGGCACACCCAAAGTAATCAAATGAACTCTTAAAAGCAGAGCTTTCTTCTGGCTGAGGGTAGATGAGGAAGTTACAGAGATGTGGCAGAAGAGCCTGTCAGAAAGATTCAAAGCATGAAAAGGACTTGACCCGTTGTTGCTGGCTTTGAAGATGGAGAGGGCCATGAGCCAAGGAATGTGGCAGCTTTCAGAAGCTGAGAACCATCTCCGACTGACAGCCAGTGGAAACAACCTCAATCCCACAAATGCACAGAACTGAATTCTGCCGCTAAATTGTATGGCCTTGCAAGTGGATTTTCCCCTGGAGCCTCCAGATGGAGCCCAGGCCAGTTGATGCCTTCACTTTGACCTTGTGAGACCCAGAGCAGAGAATCCAGCCACACTGGGCCAGACTTCTGACCTGTAAAACTGTGAGGTAATAAGTGAGTTGTTTTAAGCTGCCAAAATTGTGACAATGTATTTTTTACTGGGGGTCAAGGTAAGAAAACATTGGAAAATACTGCTGTAGTGGAAAGGATCCTGGACGGGGGTCAGGAGACTTACTCATGCCACCACTGCCACTGCCTGAGGTGAAGTTGCGTTGATCCTTCACCCTTCCTGAGTTTTCTCTCATCAGTTGAGTGGGATATTCTAAAGTTTCTTTCACATGACATATTTTTCTTTTATGGACTGATTTATTTTTTTTCCAGCAAAATTCACCCCTTTTAGTGGACAGTTCTATGAGTTTTGATAAATGTGTGTAATTACCATCTCAAGGTTTAGAACAGTTAGATCACCACAAAAGTCCCATTATGCTGCCTCTTTGCAGTCCTCTGTCACCTCTCTGGTGTACCAGTCCCTGGCAACCACTGATCTATTTATTGCCCTTATAGTTTTGCCTTCCTGAATGGAATCACACAGTGTGTGGACTTTTGAGTCTGGCTTCTTTAATTTAGCATAATGCATTTAAGATTCATCTACAGTCATGGGCCACATAGTGACGTTTTGGTCAATGGCAGACCGTGTATACAACCGTGGTCCCATAAGACGAGTACCATACAGCCTGGGTGTGTAGTAGGCTATACCATCTGGGTTTGTGTAAGTGCACTCTATCATGTTCACACACTGATGAAATCGCTTGGCGACTCATTTCTCAGAAAGGATCCCCATTGTTAAGTGACACATGACTGTATGTTGTGTGTATCAGTAATTTATTTTTTATTCCTGAGTAGTATTCCATTGTATGGAATGTATGTACCACATTCTGTTTATCCATTCACCAATTAAGAGAGATTTGGGTTGTTGTCAGTTTTTGGTAATTATAAATAAAGCTACCATAAATATTTGCATACAAGTTTGTATGTGAACATAAATTTTTCTTTCGGGTAAATATGTAGGAGTGGGAATCCTGGATCTTATTCTAAACATATGTTTAGTTTTTAAAGAGATTGGCCAGCTGTTTCCCAAAGTGGCTGTGCCATTTTGCATTTATACCCGCAGTGTTTGAGAATTTCAGTGGTTCTGCGTCCTTGCTAGCTCTTGGTATTGAAAAAGTTTTAGCTGTTCTAATAGGTACGTAGTGGTATTTCACTGTAGCTTTAATTTGCATTTCCCTAATAACTAATATGTTGAACATTTTTTTAATGTGCTTATTTGTCACTATGTGGCTTCTTTGGTGAATTGTCTGCTCTCATCTTTTTCCCATTTTAAAAAGTGGGTTGATTTTTTTATTATTGAGTGTTGAGAGTTCTTTATGTATCTATGCAAATCCTTCATTAGATATGTGTTATGCAGATATTTTCTCCCAGTCCCAAATGGCATTGTTATTTTTAATCCTATAAGTAAGTCTCAACTGCACTCAGTTCTGTTGGTGAAATGACTTAAATGAGGCATCTGTGACTTCAGGGGCTCCTTGCTTTTTTTCGTTTCTGTGTTAAGTCCTGTGGAGGAGCAGGGCTTCTGTCATGGTCTGCAATCCCGTGCCCTGCTTCCCTTCCCTTGTTGTCTATCGGTCACGGGCTAATGGGTCAGAAAGGGAACCTGCATTCCCAGTGTCGCTGGCTGGGAGCGCTACAGTGGAGTTCCCTGCTATCTTAGGTCATGCTGGGGGTGGGAAAGGAAGATGAGACCATTGCCAGATATCGTGTAGGGTGAAGGCCCACAACTACCGACACCCAATATTAATAGTATGAAGGCCTAACCTTCAAAAAGAGTAAGTGCAAATCATGCTAAAAGCAATTTTAAATTTGTCCCTATTCCTTTTTTCTGTGTATCTGAGCCAGGGATCTGACATTCCTCACTCAAGCCTGAATAGCCCTGAACATCCCAGTGCTTAGAGCATTTTTCTGTATTTTCCCAATTAATTGATTCAGAGTATTCTACCTAATCTTGGATATTTTTTACTCTTTAGTGTTTAATGTTTCTTCCTCCATCCTTTCCTACAGGAACCTTAGTTCCCCTGTCGGATTTATAGAATTTAGCTAACCTGGGATCTTCAAGAAACATCGAATGCTTAACTGCGGGCATGCATGTTTGATTCAGGGTGGTGGACTGAATATGCTTTACAAGTCTCCTTTCTCTAATAGCTACCTAGTTAAATAAATGAACAATCCCCCCGACATTCATACAAATTAGCAAAATATTTAACCGCAACAATGGAACAAGGAATAGGGCACATTGCAGCGCCACAGAATTCAGAAAGGACTAAATAAAGAATGACAGAAGATTCTGGAATTGAGGGGAAGCGCATCAAATAGAAAGGTTCCTAACTCCCTCTTCCAGAATTGTAACTGGGAGTCACCCAAAATCCTGAGGATTCTTATACCCTCAATCAGGAGAGAAGAAAACCAAGCAGGTATGTCGTTTTCCCTCTTCACACTGGAGAGAAGCAGAAATGGTTGCTGGGGAGAAATGGGTGAAGCAGAGGCAAGCGGACCCTTTCCAGTGGCTGTGAGGGCTGTAGGCTGAGCTAGAGGATGACCCCAAAGGCCAAGGCCACTCTTTCTAAGGAGACTAGAGCACAGCCTCCAGCAAGGTGGAGTGAATCATGGTTCTCTAAGTTAAGCCTCCAAGTTGGCCCAGCTTCTAAGGTGAGCTCTCCCTCTCCGCTCACCATATCTTCAGGCTACGGGAAAAGTATATCGGACAGGTATCCAGCCCTCAGACTATAGCTCAGCAAAGAACAAATGGTGGGAAGTAAGTGGTTAGGGAAACGGATGCTGGAGCCAGAAAGCCTAGTTTCTAATCTGCCTCTGCTCCTTACAAGTTCCTTGAACAAGTTACTTAACCTGTTTATGCCTAAAATTCCTCATCTGTAAAATGGAGATAGTAATAATAC